CCCTGGCTCTGGGAGGGGAGTGGGGTCTAGTGGTGAGAGCAGGGGCTGGGAGCCAGGACTCCTGGGTTCTCTCCCCGGCTCTGGGAGGGGAGTGGGGTCAAGTGGTTAGAGCAGGGGCTGGGAGCCAGGACTCCTGGGTTCTGGGGCTTGGGGAGGGGAGGGGAGTGGGGTGTACAGGGCAGGGCAGAGGCTGCCCTCTGGGGAGGAGGGAGGGTTGGTCACGTTCCTTTTACTGCCCTTCCCTTGCTGTGGTCCCTGCTCGGAGCTGCTCCTGGGCTGGTGACTGCAGCTGGCTCTGGCCTTATCAGCGGCTCCTGCTGCCCTGCCATAAAACTCAGGAGGGGAGCAGAGCCGATAGCATCGGAGCCTGGGCAAAGGGCGCTGGGGCCTCTTTTGCCCCAAGGACGGGGGGTGGGGGGATCTCTGCAAAGAGCTGCGCTTTGCCTGACATGCCCCACCCCAGAGCTGGCTGCATCCCTCTGCCAGGGCCGCTTCAGACCCTGAAAGTGGAGGAGAGAGACACAGTGCGGGGGCTGGGCTCTCTGGGGGGCTGCTGGGGGACATGCCCCACCCCAGAGCTGGCTGCATCTTGCTGAAGGTTTGGGCCGTGGCTCTTGGCATGTAACGATCAGCCTCACACCAGCGGGGCACCAGCCTGCCCCCCTGGGCTAGGGGGCTGGGATTCCTGGCAGTGGCGGGTGGCGTGCGGGAGGGAATCAGAAACAGGGAATCCCCGGCAGAGAATTACCCTGTGGGGGGGGGATTCCCCAGGGCTTTACAGCCCTGTGGTGCTCCGCCCTGTCCCTGCCCCTGCTCAGCACCCCCTGCCCCCACCCCACGGCTGTCGGGCCTGGGCGGCCTTTCCTGGAACCCGGACGATCTGATTCCCCTGGGCAAACCCCACTTCCCTTGCGGAAAATAGGAATCTGGAACGCGACGCTGGAAAACCCCGCCTGGCGGGAACCCTGCCGGCTGGGGGTGCAGCGGGGTTAGGATCTCAGTGGAGCAGGGCCAGCGGCCACTAGCCAGGGATCTGGCCCCAGACCCTTAACCAACAGCGTCAACTGGGAAAAGCCCGGGGCCTGGGTCCCACCATCCCTGGTTCTAACCACGAGACCCCACTCCCCTCCCAGAGCAGGGAACAGAACCCAGGAGTCCTGGCCCCCAGCCCCCCCTGCTCTAACTACCAGGCAACTCGGATGCCCCCTGGCTTTTATTTCCTGGGCTGGAGGGAGGCAATGTGGGGGTTTGGTAGGGGGCTGGGAGCCTCTATTTCTTCAGCCCCATTAACCCCCCCCCCAGCTGCTGTTCCAGGAACTGGCTGGCAGAGGTGGGGCTGCCCCACAGGCACGGGCAGGGCGTGTTCGCTTGGCAGGTACAGGGAGTCCATGGTACAGCCGCCCGCTACCTGCCGCGCCCAGCCGGCCTGCGGGGGCCCCCCCCCCCGGGTCAGGGCTTGCTGGGGCCTGTGGATCAGAGCACAGGGCTCCGGGGCGTGTCTCAGCACGGTGCCCACGCACTGCCGGGGGGGCAGAGGAGAAACAGGACGCCTGGGTCCCATTCCCGGCTCTGGGGGGGAGTGGGGTCCAGTGTTTAGAGCGGGGGGGGCTGGGAGCCAGGACTCCTGGGTTCTCTCCCCGGCTCTGGGAGGGGAGTGGGGTCTAGTGGTTAGAGCAGGGGGGCTGGGAGCCAGGACTCCTGGGTTCTGTCTCTGGCTCTGGGAGGGGAGTGGGGTTTAGTGGTTAGAGCAGGGGGGCTGGGAGCCAGGACTCCTGGGTTCTCTCCCAGCTTGGGGCTAAGCTGGTCTCTCTCTGAGGGGGGGCCTGGGGGCTCCCTCCTAGGAACCCACCCTGCCAGCCTCACCCCACCCCCCAGCCCACTAGGCCCCACTCAACTCGCAGGGTACAACATGGCCAGTCACATTGGGGCTGGGATCGTAGGGGGCTGCCGGTGAGGGGCACCGGCAGAGCTGGGGGGCTGTGGGGGGAGCCCAGGGCTGCTTAGATCCAGCTCCCGTCACCCTGGGGGAAGCCGCTCATACAGCAGCCTCCCCCCCCGCCCCCCATGCTCCTGGGGCTCTTAGCTCCCCGAACCCCCCTTCCCTCAGCAGCAAATCGGGGGGCGGGGGGAGGGGGAGACGCTCCCCAGGCGGAATCGCTGGGCACAGGCCCTGGGTGCGGGGGGCCAATCCGGGGCAGGGGGCAGATTTCAGCCCTGGACACATGACCCACATGCCCCCCACCACGGTGCCACGTCTCCCCACTATGGTGCCACCTGCCCCATGCACCACGGTGCAACCCAGCCCTGCAGCAATGCACCGGCCACCTGCAGCGTGGTCCCCCACACCCTGGCTGACGACGCTGGGGTGGCTGATTTTGCCCCCCTAGGGTGAGCCCCAGGCTGGGCTGAGCTCGGGTGAGGAAAGGAAGGAAGCAGCCTGTGGGGGGTGGGGCTGGAACACAGCTGTGAATAACAGGGGTGGGGTGAGGGCGAGCAGTGAGACCCCATCCCAGCCCAGGCTGTCGGGAGGTGTCTGGGATCTGAGCCAGGGCTGCCCGGGGGCCCCCCAGGTGCCTGGCGAGGGGGACACAGGAGGTGCCGGGGGCAGCCAGCCCTGGGCTCCTTCTGCTGCTGGTGCCCCGAGACACAGGTTTGGGGGGGGGGCTACAGGGCCCTGCTGAGCCCCTGGGCTTCTTCCACAGGTCTGGGACCCCACCACTGGCCCTTTCCATACAGCGACCACCCCGTGCCCGCTGGGAGCCGCCTCTGCCCCGTGCCCCCTCCCCGCCTGGCCCTTCGCACCAAGGGCCCTGGGGTCTGGCCGAGGCAGCGGCTTCTCCCGGACACGCTCCAGCCCCTGCGTCCTTAGCCCAACGACACACAAACAAAGCCAGGGAGAGAACCCAGGAGTCCTGGCTCCAGCCCCCCCTGCTCTAACCACTAGACCCCACTCCCCTCCCAGAGCCGGGGAGAGAACCCAGGAGTCCTGGCTCCCAGCACCCATCCATCCCTTGTTCAGAGGCGACGCTGTGGTGACATTGGTCTGGATTCGCCGTGTCCTGCGGGTACGTGTGCCCTGGGGCTGCGCGGTTCCACCGTCCACTCCTTGTGGCTGCCTGCAGGCAGCTCCGTTTGGCTGCCAGTCAGAGGGGGTGGGGGGCAGGCGTGGGCGTGGGGAGGCACCCGACCGGCTGGGGTTTGCGCAGAGCCGGGGCAGCCCTCCCGCGTTTTCAGAATGGGCTCTTCGCTCTGCCCCACTGGGGCAGCACCGGGTCTGCGGGTGGCAGCGGGCCCCACGTGGTCCCTGCAGGGTTGTGGGCAGCTCCCAGGGCAGGGCGGAGCCCCGGGGAGGCTGGGGTGTGGGGGATGCTCTGGTGTGAGTGATGGGATCCCTGGTGCTCAGGGGCTCCGGAGCGATCCAGAAAGGCCCCTCTCCGGATGAGCCGCCCTTCTGGCCACACCTTCCCATTGAAATGTCACATGGGTCGGCAATTAAACAGCCCCTGCGCCCCACCCCAGAGGTGGCTGCATCTCAGCGCCGGGTACACGATTCCGTGCAGAGTTGCTGTGCAGCTCTCACACAGCTGCCCCGCTCCCACGCCTGAGCTGGCTGCGTTTCCTTGCTGGCTGGGAGATCCTCATATAAACAACCGTCGCGCTCCACCCTAGAGGTGGCTGCATCTCGGTGCTGGGCAGAGCCAACCCTGTCTCCACGCTCAGTGGAGATGGCTGGAGAGGGAGTTCCAGAGCTGCCTGGGAGCCGGGAGATCCTGGGTTCTAATTCTGATGCCAATTCCCCTCGTGGACTCAGTTCTTGCTGTCGCACTGTGCCTCAGTTTCCCCATCTGGGTTGCAACCTGCTCTAGCTCCTGGAGCGGACGGATGTGAGGAATGAGGGGTTCATGCCTGGGAGGTGCTGTGGAAATATCAGATCCACACACCGCCCCCACCTCAGGCCTGGGGGAGGAGCCCTGTGCCGGGATTAGCGAGAAAGCCGGTAATCCCCTGGAAAGGGGCGAAGCGAAGCTGGATTTAATTCCTCGTGCCCCGCTTGGCACAGCAGGGCTCGCTCAGGTTTCCAGTGTCTGGTGCGGGGCAGCCCTACTCCCCTCCCCCCAAGCAAAGCAGTTTTGTGTGTGGACAGATCTCAGCTCACGGAAAGCCGGTTCGGTTACTCCATCCCTGCGCTGGGAGGGTCTGAGCCTGTGGCATTCGCTGGGGGGCTTCCCACGCACAGCAAAGCGGTTGGGGTCAGGAGCCCCCTTGGATTTGGGGTCCCACCCGGCCGTTGGTGTCATTTAGAGCAGCCTCAGGGCTGCTCTAGTTGATGCTCTGCTGGGCCCAAGTGGCGCTGGGTGGCAGAGAAGCTGCATGTGGCCCTGCGGGGCTTGGAGTGGGGGTCGTGGGGGACTGATGGGCCTCAGAATTGAGCCACCCCCTCCCCTGATGCCATTGGGGTCACGGGGGGGGGCGGGGGCTTGAATTCTGGGGACACAAACCAGCCCCCTACTGGCGGAAGGGGGCATGACATTGACACGCTGCCCCCACCCCGGCAGCCCCCCAGCCCCCGGGAAACAGGTTACACTCACTGCCCCCCAGGGTGACCCCCCCTCCCAGAGCCAGCAGAGAACCCAGGAGTCCTGGCTCCCAGCCCCCCCCCCATTAATCCCCCCTCCCCTCCCCGAGCTGGGGATAGAACCCAGGAGTCCTGGCTCCCAGCCCCCCCCCCATTAATCCCCCCTCCCCACCCCGAGCTGGGGATAGAACCCAGGAGTCCTGGCTCCCTGCCCCCCCCATTAATCCCCCCTCCCCTCCCGTAGCTGGGGATAGAACCCAGGAGTCCTGGCTCCCTGCCCCGCCCCCCCCTCAGCCTTTCCCTCTAAGCCCCGCCCCTGCACCTCCCTCCTCAGGTGACGTCAGACGCACGCCGGCGTGGGCGCGCACGGACCCGGAAGCACCTCCCCCGGCCGGGTCGCCGGGCGCCGCCATATTGGCGGATCCTGGGCGCCGCCATATCGCGCCCGCTCCGCTCGGCAGCTCCCCGGCGTCCGCCCGAGCCCCGGCCCCAGCCATGTCCGAGAGCTACGGTCAGCGGGGGGGGCGAGCTCCGTGCGGGGGGGCAGCGGGGGGGGGCGAGCTCCGAGCGGGGGGGC